ATGCTGCCCATCTGTTGTGATATTGGTTCAGTGTGATGGTGATGCCTTCTGGTGGCTGCTTGAACTCCTTTTCCATAGCATTACCTTAGTACCTTCCCAGCTCTTACAGCTGCCCTCCAAGCTAGGGGATCTGTAACCCCCACTGCCAGAGGACCTACAGCATCCTCTCCTTGTTCCCATCTTAAGAGAAAGTGGCCTGAGCACTTAGAAAATTCACACCTAAACCACCTTTCACGATCTCATAGGAGGATTTTCAATGGTGACTGGGCTTCCTGAAAGCTGTCTGTAGCACACACAGTTCTCCATGCTGTCTTACTACTGCTCCCAGCATTATTTACCATGCATGGGGGCTTGCCAGGTGTTTTCAGAGGCCTGTCCATGCATCATCCAGGTGCACCTCCAAGGACACAACACTCCACTGTGTTCTGTGTTAATTCTGACCTCTCAAAAGGAGATTTCTTGCCTGTAACCAGAGTATTTGACATACTTCATCCCATGCAAGTTCTGGGATGCTGTGCCACAGGTACCTGAGATAGCACAAACCATAAAGAGTATCACCTTCTCGAGAACAAATGAAGCTTTTGCAGCAGAGGTATAAAGCTTATGAAAGCCAATCTCCCAGCTCAAAGCTATAAATAAGAACAACTTTCTGTGCAGCTTTGATCTCTCCTACCTCTTGGCTAAGAAACAGGATAGACAGAATAACAAACAGTTCACCAGGGAAGCAAAAGCTGCTCCAGCAAAGGCTGTCAGTATCACATTTAGGCCCATCTAAGGAATTCTGGAACAGAGAAAAGCTAACTCACACAAAGCTGAGTCGTGTGGGACAGCACCTTCAGCGGAAAGGTGCTGGGTGGAAGATACAGGACCTTAACTGAGTGGATGGACAAGTCAGACTCTTTCAGCTCAGAGATACGATCTAAAATAGATGGGATCCAAGAGTGAGTGAAGGGAGGGAGCAGTCTTGCTTAATACAGGGAATAAGATCTGGGCTACCTAGTTGTTAGTCTGAACAAATCCTCCCTACAGCCACTGAGAACATTCCACATCCACACAATGAGGTGTAAGCAGGGTGATGCTCCCCACCTTCTCTGTGGGAAGATCTGGTAGTCTTCATCTAGAAACTCAGCCTGGTCTCAAAGCTATCTTGCCATAGATGGTCTCTGAGAAGAAGAGTTCACCTTTCAGATGAGTCCTAAGGAACTTCGGCAGTGAAGGGGCAGGAGAGGCCACTCTGCATCCACAGGATCAGAAAAGCATTCAGCAGGGAGCCAGGGCTCATTCTGCAAAATGCCTCGCACAGTCTGACATCCCTTGCCAAGAAGCTGATCTCAGCACAGGGAGCATGGAGCACAGTGGCCATGGCAGCAAACTGTGTCTCTCACCACCAGCTCAAAGGCTGATTGTCTCCCTCAGTGCCTCATGGAGGTAGGATGGTCACAAATGGGTCTGTCACAGTCCAGGGACAGTTCTTGCCTCAGATGAGGGGTTTTTGTGCCACTCCCACTGCTGATACAGAAGTTGTTCTCATCCTCACCTAGACACAATGGTCCAAATGCTGTGGAGGTAGAAGCCAGAACAATCACTAGCACGGTTCCAGACTGCTCAAGTAAGTCTCTACCAACATGGACTTCTGCAGGGTGAGGAAGCTGAACCAGTCCAGGGACAGTTCTTGCCTCAGAGGAGGGGTTTTTGTGCCACTCCCACTGCTGATACAGAAGTTGTTCTCATCCTCACCTAGACACAATGGTCCAAATGCTGTGGAGGTAGAAGCCAGAACAATCACTAGCACGGTTCCAGACTGCTCAAGTAAGTCTCTACCAACATGGACTTCTGCAGGGTGAGGAAGCTGAATCACCCTGCCTGAATAGAAGAAGACCTCACTGACAGTCCAGAGAGACATAATTCTATAAGGATGTTCTTGGACAAATATTTATGGAGGTCAACAGGCAGCAGCCGCAGCCGCAGCCACAGCCCAACAATGGATGCTGACAGAGGGATGGCCTGGATGCATCCTGTCATGGAACCCCATTCAGTAAGACATCCATGCATGGACTGTACTTGGGCAGTAAACATCAACATTAACACATGTACACTAAGTGAGACAGGACTTAGCCCCCTGCATGCCAGGGTTTGTGCTGGTGCATTAATGACCATGCTAGACTCTGCTGCAACATGCTCATGGGTGAGCACAGTCAGCTGCAAGGAGTAACTGTCCCACTCCTCCAAAGTTTATTTCATCGATTCATCACCTTGATCAAGATAGGAAAAGGCACACTCCATCCGTGGCCAAGCTGCCCCTGCAACCAAGTCTTATAGAAAGTTTAGGCCAAACAAAGATTTTTGAATGGGCTGGGGTCTAAGGGGAAATGAGATACAATTATTGCCCGGGAGATGAATACAGACCAGCAGGTGTTTAGAAAGATCAAGCAGCCAGGACCTGGGTCTCTGCTAGACAGTTTCTTCTGATAGTGCTTCCTGAGCAGAGGCTGCCAAAAACTGTCCTGGAAAAGGGATGAGATTAGGGATGCGAAAAGAAACACAGTGCTGAGCAGTTCTTAGGCTTCACAGTTCCCAGCAGAGCTCCTGGTGGTGAAAAGCAGGCTAGATACTCCCCAAGGAATGCAGAGGAGCCCACAGAAAACAGATGGAAGGTCTGCATCTCCCCATATCCTGCAACAAAGATGTGGGATCACCACTGATGGACGGACAGACAGATGGAGGAGAGATGGTCTGCCTGATACTGGAGGCCTTGGGCTGTGCTTCTCATGCTGAGAAATTGCTGAGGCAAAGGATCAGCATTGCATGCCCTGCCAGTGAGATGTCAGGGGCTATCACACTGGTGGGGGAACTGAGCCTATTGCTGTTAATATAGAGAATACATAGGTGGAGTAGATCTCAGTTTCACTGCAAATGAAGTTCTGACAAGCAGTGTGTGACTGGGGTCCCATGTGTCTTGTTACACAGGTGTCTGGCAGCATCAGTCAGTCCTTCTGTGCTCCGTGCTTGAAATCTCTCATGGAACATGCTCTGCAGTCCTGTGGATTTCTTAAGGAGCACCGAGAGGCCAAGGTACACACATCATGGGTTATGCACAGGGGAAGCCAGGCTCAGCCAGCCACTCGCAGAGATCTCCACAGCAGAGAAAGAGCAGAAAACACTGCAAAGACATATACCGGAAAGGGGATTTGCATGAACCAGAGGAGCCTTCAGGCAGGACAGAACATGATCTCTGATCTACTGCGCATGAGACATCATTACTGAAAAGAAAATATTAAAATATTTCCTCTGGCTTTAGCTCTTTTAGGAAGAAAAAGGGAAGAGGGAAAGAAACATGAACAGTTGGTAAGGTGGTGTGGAGGGGAGGCCCATGGTGCAGACCCTCTCCCAGGGCAGGCAGAGGCACACACCTCCCTACCTCCCTCCCAGCTGGGGGGGGGAGCGCACCTCTGCTGCCATCCAGCACCTTGCTGCTCCCATGGCTCCCCTGAGAGGTGAAGATGGCACTTGTGAGTCGGAGCCCAGCCACAGCAGGCCCTTGGCTCAGGAGCTGCACCCTGGCCTGGGGGTTTCCTCGGCTGCCCATGTCTCCTGCCTCACCTCGGTGCTGGCTGTAACCAGCCAGCTTAGCCCACGCTGAAATGCCAACACATGCCTTAACATGTCTTGCAGGCACAGGCAGAGCACCTCACCCTGCCCAAACACCAACCCACTGCACTGCAGTGTGAGGATGTGCCTGTGCTTACAGCTCAAGTGCACGTCAGTGTTAGCTACCCAAGCCAAACCTACAGAGATTAAAACTGTTGCAGCCCTCAGCCCTCATTTTATCTTTCTTATCTAATTTTAGAGATGATCCAAAAACTCTACCGTCATCTACTTTCTCTTCCCTTCAGGACCTTGAGAAAAGCTTTTTTCTCTGGAGTGTTGCCTGCCTAGGCTGTACAGCCTGGGTCAGCAGACAGCCCTGCAAAACACTGTCTCTCAGCAGGTTGCTCACCTGCTCCTGCCACCCTGCCAGACCCCAGCCTCCCATCACCAGAAAAATGTGCAAGGGCCAGCCAGGCAAATACCAGAAGAGACTGTGGGGCAGGGGAACCCCCACTGCAGTTATGCAGAGGTTGGACGTGGGGCTGAGGGTAAGCCAGAAGATGCTCTGGGATGATGCCCTGGTGTGGCAGAGGAGACCAAGTGCTGGGAGAGGAAGGTGCACAAGTCGTGAGCCACATTTGGCTTCATTTTCAATCCTGCAGCCTAAGCATCAATGATGACCCAGGTTAAGAATAAGGCACCCAATGCAGCACCAGTGCTACACATGGCCTGTCAAGAGCCAGTGGCTCCCAGAACAGGGATCTTGCCCCATCTGGCACACCCAAGGGACAGGAATGTCCCATGGGAGGCCACCACTGATGTGGGCTTGGGGGTCCGGTGGAGGACAACCCCAACCTCAAGGCACGCAGCACAAGGAAAGCCCACGCCCAGCCAAGCTGTAGAAAAGGAAACTGTCCCATTTAATGACCCCTTGTCCCTGTAACACAGACGTGAGTGCACCGCCAACGTGCGGCAAAGCAAAGTGCACCGTGAGTGGGACTCAGCCCCTGCCCTGGAGGAGGCAGGGGGGGATTGGGGTGCCTGGCTTGGCCCGGGGACCAGCCAGGCACCTGCCAGCAGCAAGGACAGAGAGCATCCCAGGCTCGGTCCAGTTGGCACCAGTGTCAGGTCCAGTTTGCAGGAAGATCCGGCTCTCGTTCAGCTCCATGTGGCACAGGGAGGGCAGGGAGCAGGACAAAGCGTACCAGGACGGAAGAGATGGGTCTAGGGGAACCTGGGTCCTGGCAAATGCCACCGTGACAGGTTTGGAGCCTCCCTGCCCAAACTGTGGTTTAACCAAAGCAGGGAAAGGGAATAGAGAAGGGGCTGGAGGCTGAGCAGCCCGAACAAGGGCCCTCAGGTCTATCTAGCTATTCCCATTTGCGAGATATCTGGTGGCAGGGGGGTGCAGGATCTGCCAAGCTCCCCAAAATGGGAGTGAGCCTGGGCAGCAGACGTTTACCAGCAGCTCCACGGCCCTGAAAGTCTCTCTCAGGCGTGGCTCAGGCACCCCTGTACCAGGAAGGGTGTCCAACAGAGCGGGGCATCCCCTCATTATCTGATGGAAGCATCACTGGGAGGGTCACGGTCGGACTCCTCGCTCTCCTCGTTCGGGGCTGACTCGCTGTTGGAGGCTGGAGTGAAGGCAGGAGACTTTCTGTGGAGAAGAGTAAAGGGCAGCAGTCACAGCACCGTCCAGGGGGAGGGAAAGGACCCAGTTTGCTGTTAGCAAGGAGCACCAGAGCAAAGAAGAGAGAAGATTTAGTGCCTCTTTCACTCTCCTGGGGCACATGTGGGTCTGTGGGAATCCTTAGAGATTGGTAAGGGTGTCCCAGAGGACACCAGCAGTGAGGTCCAGAGCATGAAGCAGAGCTGGGGGAGATGCTGGAGGGGTCTGCCCAGAGAAGGACCCTGCCAAGGTATGTGAGGCTAGGGGTAAGTGAAAGCCCACCACAGAGGTGCCCTGCCTGGAGCCACCCTGGCTCCACATGCCTGTGGGGAATTATATGATGTCCCTGCACAACAGCAGCTCCTCCCACCAGCTGGGGTGATAAGAGATGAGATGGCTTCACCTGTCAAAACTGACTCCTGTGCCACAGTCCACCTTCTGCAGAGGTGGCACCACAACCTGTGTGGAGGCTGGTCACCATCCACCAGGAACTGTGCTCTCTCCATGCCACACCGGGGGAGGGCAGGAGCATTACCCTGCGATTCAGCTCCCACTCACCACCACCCTGGCTCCAGTCCTTTGCCCAGAACACAGGTATCCCAGCCCTCCCGCTGGAGCTCACCTGTCCCCAGACTGGGTGATGAGCCGCCGGCAAGTCTCCATCTGCACGTCCAAGCCTCGCTTCATGCTGCACATCTCCATGTACTCGTGCAGGTGGCGGTTCATGTCGTTCTTGGCTGTGGCCAGCTCCAGCTGCACAAGGGAAACAGTGCAGAGATGAGCTCAAGGCAGTGTGGTGTGGTGCAGGGCAGGGGGCATGGCCAGACCCAAGGCTGCTGCCCCCAATTACCAACCACCAGCTCCAGCATGGTGTCTCCCTGGGGACCCACTCCATTTCACCCCCTTCTGTGCCATGCCATCCCCATTTCCTCCTCCTACCTCTATTTGGTCAATGGTTTCCTGGTACTCCTTCTCACGGCTCTTGAACAGTGACTCTGTGTCCTTGATCACCTTCTCCAGGCTGTCGTCCTGCTGTTGGAGAGAGGAGATGGCATGTTTAGAGGCAGGGAGACATCCAACATGAGGAATCAAGGCAAGAGAGCGAGAAATCTGAGAAAGAACTGGCAGCACTGGGAAAACATAAGCAGTGTAGTATAAATAAGGCACAAGCCAGTTCTGCCAACACGGAGTAGAGAGACCGAGTACTTGCCACACTGGGCAGTGACCACGTCAGACCAGAACAAGCCCAGCCATTGCTCAGAAGCTTTGGGGAGCACAGACCATCCCTAAGTGCAACACATCCCATGGAGACTGCCAAGGGCCAAAGATGTGGAATGGTAAGGAATATGGACAGACATTGAGGCCTCTGTTTGGGCAGAGTTGCTGCACAGCGGGCAGGTGGGCTGGAGAGCTCACCAGAGGTGGTTTTCTCTACCGGGGGGAATGTGGCTCTCCCCACATGTGGGCCATACCCTCAGCACATCTTCCATGCTACACATCGCCACTCCACCTAACAAGGAGACCTTCACAAGGATGCAGTAACATTCATGTAGAGAAGATGGGATGTGGAGAGGAAACATCTATACAGGCCTGCAAGGGATGGAGGCTCTCGAGTCTGGTCTCTGAGGGAGCATCTTCCCAGGCTCAGGCAGGACTGAGTGTCCCAACCCAAGGCTGATTCACTGAGGGGACCTGACACCACCGTTACCTCCCCCTGCACCTCTGCGGCTGCAATGGCGTATCCGGAGAAGTCCTCCCAGAGGAGAAGCGTTTCTTCTGTCTCCTCCCACGTGAGGCTGTCACAGTCATCCTCAAAGTCATATTCCCTCCTGGGGGCAAGGGAACAGCATATCAGCACCCAGCAGGAAAAACCCAGCAGGCAGAGGGCTGTATCAGCGCTGAAAGCCCTGTCCCTGCTAACAGGCAGGGCTGCAGCCCTTGAAGGTCTTGAAGCTCAAGTGTTCCCAGACCCAACAGTGGAATGGGAAAGGGCTGGTTTTATGGTCAGGAGCCCTGGAAAATTCAAGCAGGGACTCCCAAAAAGGTGAGAAGAGGGGCAAAAGGAGAGGAGCTGGACCAGCTTCCACCCGCAGCACAGATGGGCTCAGGTCTCCCAGGTGGTTAGTCCTGCTGTGCTGCGGAGCACAGGGTATGTGTACCCTGCAGCAGCACTTCCCATCTCACCCTCCCCTGCGAGGGGAGACACAGCCCCCCCTGCCCTCCCCATCCCAGGCAGCAGCAGGGAGCCTGGTGCCAGAGCCTGGCTCGGTGTCAGTGGCAGAGGTGCGGAATAGCCGCACTCACAGCTGGTTCAGCATCCTCTGCATTTCCTCATTGATACTCATGGCCGTGGTCTCATCCTCCTCTTCCTCTTCAGGTTTTCGGGAGGCATCGCTCTCCGACAGTGAGGTGTCTTCATCGCTGACCTGCTTGCGCTCCCGCTTCCGCCCCACCGAGGCTGGGACCTTAACGGGAGACAAGTGCAGAGACTACAGAAACGAGGCCGGGTCCGAGGTCGGGAGCAGGTAGTCAGGAGGAGATGGAGGGGAAAGGAATGGCGGAGGGACAGAAAGGCAGGGAGTAAAGAGAGAAAGAAAGAAAGAGAGAAAGGAAGAAAGGAAGGAAGAAAAGCAAGAGAGAGAGAGATGGGCTCATTATGATCAGGTTAAAGATGGTGCAATGGATAAAACATGGTTTTAGCATTTCCTAAAATTAAAACTAAGCAACTAAAGATGGAATCTATGAATCTGATGAGAAAATAACAATGTGGCTTTACTGCAGAAAAACTCAAATCACCCACCAGCCCAGTACAGAGACAGGGAAACACAGTGACAGAAACAGGAAAAAAGACAAGAGTCTGAAAAAGGTGACATATGTCAATATTTACAGTCCGACCTTATTTACATAAAGTTTAAAATTTGTACACTTTCCCAACTGAATGGAACTAACCAGTTGCTTCTGTAAGGACAAAGAGAGCGAGACAGAAAGGCAGTGACATCCAGAAAGAGAAAAGAGACAGAGACAGAGAAGAGAGACAGAGAGAAGATGACGGACAGGGGAAGGGGAAGGAGAGAGATGGAGTTAGAGACAGACACTCAAGCAACTCATCTCCCTCCTGCAGCTGCTCCCCCACCACTGCGGGATCCCCGGGCCCAAAACAACAGGTCAGCAAGAGGTTGAGGGGACTCTCGGTGCCCAAAGCAACATCTGGAGCTTTCTACCTCCTCTCTGTGCCCTTTCACCTGGTCCTCCCAAGAGAGACAGAGAGCAAGGGACTGCAAGGAACAAGGGTGACCAAGCGTCTCCCCTACCAGGGGGCTGGTGTTGTCTCTTCTACCTCCTTGAGGAACTCTCTTCCCCAGAGCCAGTGGCTGAACCTGGGGCAGCAGCAGGCGCCTCTCACCTGAAACATCTTGATCATGTCCTCGCAGTTTCGCTGCTGCGCCACATCGCACAGCTTGGCAGTGATGTCAATGCGCCGGCAGATGTCCATGTCCACCTTCATGGCCTTCTCCTGGATCTTGGTGTCTAGCTCTGTGATATTCTGAACCCACAGCACCACAGGAGGGGGACAAAGGAGGAGCATTAGGCAAGGCAAACAGCAATCCCCACATTATCCCCCGTGCTGCAGCACTGCACCGGCTTCCCCACTCTGCTCACTGCACCCTGGACCAACCCTGCCAGAACCCCACTGTGCTGAACATGCCCCACCAAGGAACTGCTTTTCTCTGCTGCCTCACCACTTGGGTAGGACACTGCAGCTGAGTCAGAGAGGGGTTAGGGACTCACATTGCTCATCAGTCCCTTGAAGACAACAAGCTCTGCCTTGAGCTGCTCCACCTTCATGGCCAGCTCCTCCTGGCAGGCTTCAGCCTCCTGGGCTTCCTGTCCCAGGCAAAGGGAGATGTGCAAATCAATCAGCGTCAGTACAGGGTAGCTGGAGTGCAGGGGAAGGAGGGAGACAGTGATACTCACCTCCTGCAGCTCAGTCACCCGGTCCTGAAGCTGGACTCGCACCGTGTACTCCTCTTCCCATCTAGGGAGACAAACACGTTGGTCAGATCCCGCCAGCCTTGCCAAAGAGAGAGGAGGGAGCGGCAGCTGCTCACCCCAAAGCTATCCAAGAGGGGGTAATGACGGGAAGGAGAACATGCCCAGGAATGCATCACTGCCTGTTTGCAGAGGACTGCAGCTGCCAAGCCCATCAGCCCCCCTCCCGGCCACAAACCCTGCCCCACCAGCTCTCCGCTGTCCCTGCTGTGCGCTGGCCAATGGCTGCCTGCTCCGCAATGGGGGGGGCTGGGGGCACCAAGCACAGGCTGCCCGCCGCCGCGGCTCTGGGTGCCCCGCGGCTGCCGGCTCCGCAATGGGGGGAGCTGGGGACACCAAGCACAGGCTGCCCGCAGCAGCTGCTCTGCATGCCCTGCCACCCTGGGGCTGGCCCATGGCCCAACACAGCCCACCAGCCTCTCCATCTCCCCCTCTGAGCCCCTCAGACTTGGGTCATATTAGGTTCAGCTCTTACACTCAATAACGGGATTGCAGATATTGCAGAGTTGCCCCCATCTCCATCATATTTGGGACCACATTTGCATGGCTGCAGTGCTGCAGTTCGGGCTGTTCAGAAGTACAAATCCCAATCTAATACCAAGCCACATTGCAGCATGATATGCCCAAAAATGAAGGGCTGTTCTTCTGCCTATACAGAGGGCTACCCTGCACCAGGCCATGCTACCCAGGCAGGGGCACAAGTCTCCTTGACTGCACTGCTGCATAACATGTTGGATTAAAGAACATTGCTCCATCCTACAAGGAAGCAGGATGGACTGTCCCAGTTTGTGCCAAGTTGGCCAGTGGGCACTGTATTAGGCTCTGCAGCTTTGCAAAAGGCTGAGCTTCAAGGTGCCCGGCCTTGCTATATACATCACCTAGCAATTATTATATTGTATTTCACTGCATGAGATCATCATTTTGGCCCATGCTGTGGTGTTGGCCCAGTCCATCATCTTCTGGGAAGCCACCAGACTGTACTACTCTTTGCTAAACGACTATCTCATAGAGCAGACAGTTTGGCGTGTGCGCTGTGATGTGGCACGGGGCAGGGCTTCTGTATTCTTACCCAGCTCCCGGCTCTTCTGGGAGAGCCAGGCTTCTCCAAGAAAGTGGGATTTCTCTGGGAAAGCAACCAGAGCTGGGCCCTGCCTTGTGCTGTGATCTCTGGGTTCTATTCGTGCTTGCAAGCACTAACACAGGCACCGCGACCCTGCACAAGGAGGTGAAAAATCTCTCTTCTAGTTTACTCACACCAAGTTTGAAAAATAAATCATAAGGTCTAGGAGACCAGCAAGCGTATGAAAAGCCTTCACACTTGTTATGTCTCGGGGTACCCCACAGTCGATGATGTGGGAGAGTCCCAGCTTATGAATTTCTAAGCTGTTAAGGCTGGCAACGCTGCTCCTAACTCAAACAAAGACAAAGTGTGCAGTCCTCTTGTTGGTGTTGGCTCCACACCGCAGCTATAGAAGGGGAGTCAAAGGGGGTTCCCATCCCTTTGGGGGAAAAGGGAGATGAAGAGAGAGGGAAGGAGAAAGATAAAAAGTAGAACTGTCCTTATATGGGAACTGTTCAAACAAGGCCTCGCTCCCCAGGGAGAAAAACGTCTTCCATCGTAAGAAATAATTTTTACCATCTTTCCCAGCGTGGCACTTCCTCTCTTTTTTGGTCCCCGCCTCCCTCCGGGTCTCTGTATAGCCCAGACTGACTGGGGAAGTAAAGCACAGCTGCTAATCCTTGGAAGAATTCATTTCACACGAGCACAGATCAGATAAACACTGATTTAAAGGCGGGAAGCAGCAGCGATTCACCCCGCCAGTGCCGAATCCGCACACCCATCCATTCCAAACCTCTCTCCTGCTCGCCTCCCGCCTGGCTCCTTCTTCCCTGCTCCCTCCTGCAATGCACCACTCCTAATAATAACCTGCCTGCAGCACTGCACCCGCTGTGCTGCCCAGTGCTGCCAGGTCGCTGCTGGCTGGAAGCAAGGAGCGACCTGGCAACCCCACACAGAGCGACCCACACAACCCCACAGCCACCGGCCCATGCCAATGGGAGACACGCAGCCTTCCTGCACTGCTGAAAGACAGCAACAACCTGCCTGAAGGCTGAAACACTGGGAGAAGGCAGAAAGTGAGAGCAGGAGGGTCCCAGCAGCAGACATATCTGGCCATCTTCTCGCCAGCTACAGGGCAGGCTTCCCAAAGCTGGGAACATGACAAGATGCAGTGCTGTCCATACAGCCACCACCCATTCCCCCAGGTGCATCCCCTCAAGACGTTCACTTGGTGAAACAGACAATCCCCCTGCATCTTTAAAACCCCCTGTTTGCTGCAAAAGGCACTGGGGTGCCTTACTGCTGGTGCTGCAGGGCACGCTTGAAGCTTCAATGTTTGGAGCTTGTATTTGGGGCTTGAAGCGTTTCCCCCTCTTGCCATGTTTGGACTATGAGCTTCATCTGAATGGTGAAGGCCCTGCAGCTTGGTGCACCTCCTTGGAGGGCAATTACATCAACAAAAGACCTTCTTGTAGTCTCTCAATATATAAAGAAGGCTTATAAGAAAGATGGAGAGAGACTTCTTACCAGAGCCTGTAGTGACAGAAGGGGCAATGGTTTTAAACTGAAAGAGGGTAGATTTAGATGTGACATAAGTAAGATTTTTTTTTATGATGGGGGTGGTGAGACACTGGAGCAGGTTGCCCACAGAAGTTGTGAATGCCTCACCACTGGAAGTATTCAAGGTCAGGGCTTTGAGCAACCTGACCTAGTGAAACCCCATGGCAGGGGGCTGGACTGGATGATCCTTAAAGGTCCCTTCCAACCCAATCCATCCTGTGACTAACACACTGTGCCATAACACTACTAGCCCCACACCTCCAGCATGTCCTTGTAGCATCCAAGATAGAAACTTCTTGAGAAGACAGACGTAGCAGACATCTGATGAGACTCTCAGATCCCCAGCACTTGGCAGGTCTGTATGGAACTCACAGGCATCATTTGCCCCTCCCTCTCCAAGCCACCCAGCCTCAGTCCGCTCCTCCCAAGTATGACTCCTATGAGCCTCTCTCGTGCTGCTGCCCCTCTTCTTGTCCCACCCCCTGTTGCCCCTGCACCTCTCCTCGATCCCAGACTTGAATTGCAGGCTCTGCATACGCAGAGAGAAGCTCCTCTGTGGCACTGCTCCGAGTGCTGTGGGGCGCACGGTGGCAACACTGCCCTGAAGAAAGTGCAAGCTAAAGCACCCAAGCCATGGATCAGAGAAATGGGAAGCCCTGTGTTAACATGGCCTCTTCCCTCTGCTCCCAGGCAGGTGGCAAAGGGATGACACCAGCCACACTGTCCCAGGTCAGAGCCAGTCATGGCAGGGAAGGCTCTGCTCCTTCGGGGACGCCCCCAGTCATGGCAGGGAAGCCTCTGCTCCTTGGGAGATGTCGGTGTCAGCCCTCAGCATGGAGAAGCGTGTGGAAATGGGATCCTCCTGTTCCATTCCCCTGTTTGGGACCTGGCTGCACCCATCAGAAAAGTTCCCGGTGCTGGAAAGGGTCTGGGGGTGGGGTCTGGTTTCCCCCAGCTCCTGGTAACACAGTCCAAAAATAGATCCCACCAACAACATTGGCCCGCAGCAGCTTGTGGTGCACCACTGCCTGCCCCCAGCATCCCTGCTCCCTCCATCACCCCCTTGCAGCCTTCTCCAAAGCCCACTTGCCAGAGCAGAACAACTCCAAAAAGCTCCCCTTTCTCCCAGAGCAGCAACAACAAACCCAACTTGGTCCCCTCCAGCTGACCAGCTTTTAGTCTCAAGCCCTCCTGGCCAAAAAGCTGGCTCCAGCTCTCTGCTATTCGATCTGAAAACACAAGGCAAGAAGAGCTGCCCGCCCCTGGAGAGGGAGCCTGACCCCTGGCTTAACAATAAAAGGCCTTAAGCACACACAGCAATTGGTGGGAAAGAAGAGATGCCAAAACTCTTCCTTCCACATGCCTTGCTCAGTGCCTTCGGAGAGTGCGACAGGCAAGTCTGCTCAGGCAAAGCCTTATAAAGCCACAGACATAAGATGTCATCACGGATCCCTGGCCTTGATCTTGGCACCAGAACCCATGGCTGTGAAGCATGGGTCAGCAGCATGGCTCCTGTAGGTAGAGCACACCATTCCTTTGGGTACATAACTGGTTACTTTCAACTTGCTTCTAAAGCATCATAAGGTGACTTCTCTTCTGAAAAAGCAATCAGTTGCTTGGGTGGTGTCAGTCACCAGCGATGGTCTCACTCTGCTCTGCCCTGCACCCTGATCCAGCAACACCAGCCCCTGCCTCATCTCATCCTACGTGTGGATCTGGAAGCAGCCTCGGAAACTGGGCTGAAACAAAAGTGATGTGAGTGTGGCGGCTGCCCGGCACAGGAAAGAAGAACTGGCCAAGAGATTAGTTTTGCATTCTGCTTCGCCCTTCTCTGAGGCACATGCCAAGCCACAGCTATTTTGGGTAGGGAGGAAAGCCCCTGAGGAGTGGGGTGCTCCTGCACTGCTCGCTGCTGCTGAAGCACTGGCTGAGAGAGCACTGGGGGAAGGAAGGGTCTGGGGGAGCCAGCCACCCTGTTAAGGGGCTTCTTGGCACCTTCCTATGTATCCAAAGAGCTGCCCTCCTCCCAGAAGCCTTTTCCAACCCAAACCCACTCACTGCTGCACATTCACCTTCCTCACCTACTTTCTAGCTGCTCCTCCTTCCAGATCCCCTTCCCTTTAAAACGCCAGCTCCTGGAGTCATGTTATTTCTCCCCTGCTTGGAAAGGCATTTCTAGTTCCTCGTGCCGGGTTGGCAAGATGGAAAAAGGCTCAGCAAACATCCCGCCAGGGTCCAAACATCCGGAGGAAAGCGAGGAGACCCGGGCATAGATACACGTTTTCAGGGGTGTATGTTTTTGTCTTAGGACCCCACCTCACACTGCCTGGAGCCTGCACTCTCGGGAAGTCAGGCCAGCGCCGCCC